TATGGTACTCCATAATCCCGTCCCCCGTGACGCGACAATCCCCAACCCACCAAACCCTTGCCCCCGCTTCCTCCTCCCCTCCTCGCGGTGGCGCTCACCTTCGAGCTCGGAAGCGGAAGCCTGCGGTGAAAATGGCTGGAGGGAGGGGTTGCGCCTAGCCCACTCTCCGTTGCCGCCGCCGCCGCTCGCTCGCCGACGCCCACCCCGCCGGCTAGGTTTGACCGTGTCCTATTTTAATGGGGGCAAAACTGTTTTAATTGTGTCCTGCCCGCGGTGGAAGCGCAGAACCCAACTCAGGCCTGGTTTAGTTGGCAAAAAAAATTGTTTTGGGATGTCACATCGGATATACGGACACACATTTCATTTGAAGTAATAAACGTTGTCTAATAACAAAACAAATTACAGATTCCGCCAGGAAACTGCGAGACAAATTTTTTAAACCTAATTAATCCGTTATTAGCAAATGTTTACAGTAGCACCACATTGTCAAATCATGGCGTAATTAGGCTTAAAAAATTCGTCTTGTAATTTACATGCAATTTTTGTAATTGTTTTTTTTCTACATTTAATACTCCATGCATGTGTCCAAATATTTGATGTGACAGCGTGAAAAATTTTGTTTTGGAAACTCAACAGGGCCTCATTTATCGCGGCCAACGGCCGAAAAGGAGGAGAGGGCAGTCGAAGCGAAACAGCCATGAAGCTTCCCTCCAATATCCCCAACACTCACCTCGCTCAAAACCCTAATCTCGTCGTGCACCACCGACATGGCCGAATCCCTGGTCGCCGCCATCGACGACCACTCCGTCATCTCCACCGAGATCCCGCACTCCGACCTAGGCGAGAAGGCGAGCCTCGTCGACGCTGATCACCGGATCGGGGATGTGACACGAGCACCGGCGGCGGCGGCGGCTGAGGAGGAGCACGGGCACTACACCAGCGACCTCCTCCGCCGCGCCGAGGTGAGCAAGCTCAGCGAGGACCCGGGGAGGGACCGCAGGGACCGGGAGGCCACGATGATCATCCTCACATTTTAGCAAGAAGTGAAAACTCTAGATCAGAATAAGTGTCTTAGTCCTTGTCAAAGATCCAATGGCTACGGAGGCCTATAAATAGAGGAGGTTTTCTCTTGCCATGCTATGAGAATGTGAGCATGAGCATTAGAGCTAGATAGTAATAGCATGGCAAGAGAAAGTCTCCTGCATATTCATAGTCATATTTGTTCTTTTTGTTACAATTTGTATATATATTGAATTGAAATTGTGTATTTTTAAAGTGATATATCATATATTAATCTATCTTATTAAATTTTTTAGTAAATTGCACCCATGGTACAAGAACTTGATAGGTGCATGTGATTTAGTGCAAGAACTTGAAAAATGAGTAGATTGGTACATAAAAT